GAATTAGAAAAGGTCTTTATCTCAACTTGATAAAAGCCATCTATGACAGACCAAAAGCCAGTATCACACTGAATGGACAAAAACTGAAAGCTTTCACTCTAAAACCAGGAACAAAACAAGGAGGTCTACTATCAACCATTCCTATTCAATATGGTTCTGGAAACATTAGCCAGAGCCATTAGACAAGAGAAAGAAATACAAGGAATAAGGATGGAATAAAGAAGTTAAATTATCATTATTTGCAGATGACACAATACTCTGCTATAGAAGACCTCAAACACTCCACCAAACGTCGACTAGATTTAATAATCAAACTCAGTGCTGTAGCTGCATACAAAGTCAACACTCAACAATCAATGACAGGCTGGGCACAAGGATGCAGGCCTATAATCCCAGCACTTGGGAGGTTGAGGGAGGAGGAACTTTGAGTTTAAGGTCAGTTTGAGCTGTATAGTGAAACCCTGTCTCAAAAAGAAAAAAAAAAAATCAACAGCATTCCTGAACATGCATAATAAACTCACTGAGAGATAAATTAGTGAAACACCACCTTTCACAATAGCATCCAAAAGAAATGAAATACCTAAGAATCAATTTAATGACGAAAAAAGACCTCTACACTGAAAATCATAGTACTCTGTAAAAGACATCAGAGTGCACCAGGAAATGGAAAGATACCCATTGTTATTGGGTAGGAAGAACCAACACAGTGAAAGGCCCATGCTTTCAAAATTGTTACACAGCTTTAATATAACCCTGATCAAAATACCAATAACATATATCACAGAGATAGGGAAGACACTCAAAAGAGACCCAGAATAGCTAAAAGCAAGTCTGGTCAACAAAGACAAGGTAGGGGGCATCACAATCCTGACTTGAAATTATACTACAAAGCTACTGTGATTAAAAACAGCATGGGACTGGCAAACAAAACAAAACAAAACAAAACAAAACAAAACAAAACAAAAAATCCTAAGGATCCACAGAAAAGATTAGAAGATGCGGAAATAACTCCAAACACACTCAGCCACCTTATCTTTGACAAAGGAGTCAAGAACATTCACTGGAAGAAAGATAACCTCTTTAATAAATGGTGCTGAAAAAACTGGCCTTCCTCATGATTAAAAGTAGATTAAAAGTAGATCCGTATCTTTCACCATGCACTAAACTAAAATCAAAATGGATCAAAAATCTAAATATTAAAACAGAAATTCTAAATCTGCTGAAAGAGAAAATAGGTAGACCTCTTAAAGACATCAGTATAGGCAAAGACTTTATGAACAAAATGCCAATCACACAGAAAATATCACAAAGAATCAACAACTAGGCTCTCATCTTATTAAAAAGCTTTTGCACAGCAAGAGAAACCAGTGTGGGAAAAAATTTTACCAACTGTTTCTCAGAAAAAGGACTAATATCTAGAATTTATAAGAACTCAAAAAAAGGGGCTGGGGATTTAGCTCAGCGGCATAAGCGCCTGCCTTGCAAGCAGGTAGTCGTGAGTTCGATCCCCGGTACCGATAAAAAAGAAAAAGACAAAAAAAAAAAAGAACTAAAAAAAAAAAAAAAATCTGACCCCACCCTCAATTTAAAGGCCCAGTCCAAAAATGGGCATCTGAGATGAATACACGATTCTCATGAAGAAATATAAACAGCAAACAAATATATGAAAAAATGTTCAACATCACTGGCCATTGCGAGATGCAAATTTAAACACTGAGATTCCATTTCAACCCAGGAAGAATGGCTATCATCAAGAAATCAACCAATAACAAATGCTAAAGGGGCGGTGGGGAAAAGGAACCCTTTTGCACTATTGGTGGAGTGTAGACTGGTGCAACCACTGTGGAAATCAGTGTGGAGACGCCTCAAACAACTAGGACTAGAGGCTCCATTTGACTCTCAGTTATTCCCCATCCTAGTATCTTCCTGGAAGAATTAAAAAGCATCATATCACAGTGATATATGCACACCCATGTTTATAGCACCACAGTTTGTAATAGCTGAATCTTGGAAACAGCCCAAATGCCTATCAACTAATGAATGGATACAAAAGATGTGGCTTGTTTTATACAATGGAGTACTACGCTGCCATAAAGGGTAAGCTTGAGACACCTTTAGGTAAATTCATGCACCTTGAGACCATACCTTAAGTGAAATAAATGGGACACACACGTTCAAATATCACACTGTATCTCTGGTGTGAGAAACTGAAAGTGTGAATAAGGTCCAAAATGTATACTAGGTATTGGAAAAAGGAAAGAAAATGCTCAGATGAGAAGGGGAGCAAGGGATGAGAGCAAGGAAAAGAAAGCGGAGCAAGAAAAAACAAAACAAAAAGTAGAACAAGGAAAAAAATAGAAAAAAAAATGGAAACAAAACTTGTAAATAAGAAGGGAAGAGGGTTTGAAGGGAGGAGAGAGGAATGCGGGGTGGGGGAGAGAATCAAGATAAACTATGTACAGGTACAAATTCTATATGAACAATGTCATCATTAGATATCTAAAATGTACCAATAAAATAAAAACTAATAAACGCATCGCTTTGATGTATTAAAATGTTGAAAAGTATGGTATTTTACTTAGCCACACATTTATATTACAGAACGTTTACATTACCGCTTTGCTGGAAATACTTTACTACTACAATTGGACTTTTGGTCTGCACCTGCCTCTGATATACATTTAAGCATTCAACAGCCTTAATTAGAGTCTACTTCTTACTTGTATAACACCTGGGGGAACAGGTGGTCTTGAACTGTGTGTAGCACAGACTGGCCTTAAAATTATTGCAATCCTTCTGCCTCAGCCTCCCAAGTGCTGAGATTAATCTGGCTCACATGCACAATATTTTTTTTAAAAAAAATAAAAACCACACATTCAAAAAAAAAAAAAAAAGCATGACTAAGCATAGTGAGTCTGCATTTTGTATACTAGCAACACAGTGGGAACATAAGTATCCATCAGGCAGCTAATTATAGTGTATTAGTATATTGGACTATCAGGCATTTTCACAAAAGAACGGGGCAGCTCCATGGCTAAAGGTAATAAAAGTGAGAAAAGCAAGGTGCAAAACGGGGCCATCACACACCAGCATCTGTGTGGGAACCCATGCCGTAGACCTGGAAACACTAACCACTTTCTACAAGAGGCAGATGCTGGTTTTTTGGTTTTTTTTTTTTTTTGTTTTTTTTTTTGTTTGTTTGTTTTTTTAATCATGCCTGAGAAAGATTTCTTTGCAACTCAATTGATTCTAAAGGTCCAGGGATGCACTAGTGCAGTTGTGTATCACAGCTATGTGAGGCCCTGAGTTCCATCTCCAGCATCCAAAAAATGTTTAAGGTCAAAAGTGTTATAATGAGCTTTTAGAATTTTTAATGAAAATTAAAGAGCAAAAGCCATCATGGACTAACGTAGCCTACTGCTTGCCTAATCTGAGGCTTCTCCACTGCAGCGGTGCCTGCTTCCTGTGTGAGTGCTCGCCTATAAATGCCTGCTTCCTATGTCTGGGACAAAGGATGCATGGGGACCTTTGGCTTCTCCCTGGTGGGAGAAGGCCTGTGCCAAGTTTCTTGATTGGCCCTTCAGGGAAGGAACACAGCCAAGCCTGGCCCATGCCACCTGTCTCTGGGTAGAATGCGCACCTGCCAGCCTTGAGCAGGAGGTGCAGACACCCTGGAGGAGCTCGAGTCTACTTGAGTCAGATTCATTCTGCTGAAGCACTGTAAAAGGCCAGGGTGGTCAGGAATAACAGCTCCTTTTGACCCTGTTCATTCCTTAAAATCCGGCAGGAGATTCTTTCCACTCCCTAAAATTAACTGTTCTGTGACTCAAGCCATCTCTGGGTATCTAATCTTAAATGGAAAGTTATCTGAAAACAGTAACACCCCCTTTATCCTCCAGTTTTTTGAGATGGGGTCTCACTAGTCCATGGTGGCCTTGAACTCACTATGTAGCCTAGGCTGACCTCCAGCGCCCAGCGATTCTCCTGCCTCATCCTCCTGAGTGCTGGGATTGCAGGCATGTGCCTCCAGGCCTGGCCTGCAACCAGTAGCAAACACTGGCCCTCTTTTATTTTTATCCCTCAGGGGGTAGTGAGAAAATGACTAAAAACTGCAGAGTTCCTTGGCTTGTGCTTATCTCCAACAGACACAATCTTAGTGCTTTTGAAGTAAAACTAATAACCAGAAAATATTCTCTTCTCAGTGTAAAAATCACAGGTGAACACTAGAATTGAATGAAAAGTGAGCCATATTACCCCAGGGAGTGATTGCTCAGTAAGTAAAATAACTTTAACACAATTTTTCACTTTCACTTTACCATTCATTATAAACCTCAGTTATAATCCATTACTATTTCTCCATGAGACTGGATCAAGCAACCCTTCTAGGTTCGATTCGTATTTTGTAACAGGGTTGCTAAATCACCCAGACTGAGCTCAAGCTTGCATCCTCCTGCCTCGGCTTCCCAGAGTGCTGGGATTACAAACATGTTCCACCATGTCCGTTTGAACCACACTCAAAAATCAAAGAAACCAGGGTCCAGACTTCAGCTCTGCTATCCACAAGCTGGAGAGCTTTGGGAAAGTCTCCTTGTCCACACAATGGGGATTTTGTTACTGCCCAGCAATGGTGATGAGGATTCAAGGAGGGAAAGGACCAAAGCGCCTTGCCTGCTGCTAGACACAAACCATGTTCTACAACCAGACTCAGAGAGGGGCACACACCCTATGTGCATTGGTGTAAATGAAGACAGGAAGCCGGGGTGATTTTCAAAACACTTGATTAAGGTCACTGGAGAAGGTACCAGAATTGCAGAGTGAACCTAAGGTATCATGTCATGAACCGGGAGCCGGGGCCAGAGGGAAGCATGGTGGGAGGGTAATGGAGTGAAGATACCAGTGGGCCCACAGGGAGCGGGGGAGACGCCAGAGTTGCTCTTGAGCCCCACAACCTCTCACCGGACTCTGGTCCCTTCAGCCAGGCGCTGAAGCTTGGGGCTTACCCAGATTTGGCTGGGACACGGCCATGGCCCGCTGAGGCACTGGTGTGGAAGTGACGGCAGGGTGGAGGCTCAGATGATTCAGGGGCTGATTCATCGCCTTCCTAGGGTCTTGCCATGTGGTGATTTTTTCTATGTGACTAAAAGAAGGAAAACAATTCATTACTTTTTTAATTGTCAGCACGACCCTCCTCATCACTAATCAAAGCAGCCCCCAGGTGACCCTTTTTCTTCCCTTTGGCTCTGCTTACACGTGGCTGGAAAACGGTGTTTGGTTTCACCTGAGAACACTGGCTGAGGGAGCCCTCTGACCCAGTTGGGTCCCGGTGGGGATTTTGCAGAGCACTCTGAGCACAAGCCCATGACTCAGCCCAAGCAGCCTGAGCTCACTAGCTCCTCAGGTGCCTGCCCACACCCACTCACAAAAGCCATGGGGCAGGCTCCTCACCAAAGCAGAGCCCCTGCCATCCTTCCCCATCAGCCCCCTTGGTCCTCCATGGGGAAACTGACACGACCCCACTCTCTCCCTCCTAATACAACAGCACACAGCTCACACTGGGAGGCCCACGGAGACCACGGCCCAAGCCCTCCAATAGCTACGATCTGCCAAAGATAGCTAGGGAGTCCACAGGAGAGGGCAGGGGTGCAGGAAATGAGCTAGTGGGGTAACCAAGTGCAGAACAATGGTGGAAAAACAGATACTGCACTGAGGCCTGAAGGTCTGGATGAGAAGGCACGATTCAATTCTTGATCAGATACAACTTCCAACATGTGATATCATGACTTCATGTCAGAGAAACGAGCCCAGCATGAGCTGCGGCCAAGGTTTTCAGTACAGACTACTGCCTCCCAGATCACACTAGATGAGATGGAGATATAGAGATATGAAGATATGGATATATAGATAACGTAGGCCTTGAACATGCTAGAAAAGTGATGTACCATTGAGCAACACACTGTCCCAGCTCCGTTTTTCAAACGGATTCCAGCAACCCTATTTTGCTTCAGAAACTTTCTTTTCCTTTTGACACACTGGAGATTGGACTCAGGGTCTTCACAGTGAGCTACATCCTCAGTCTTGTTTTTCATTCATTCACTCATTTCTCTGAGACAGACTATCACTAAGTTTTCCCCAGCTGGGACACAGACTATTTTATATCCATCAAAGTCAAAGATTTATAGAAGAAACTGAATGCCAGCCCTTTGTTCTGGCCTTATGACTAGGTTTCCCTGTTAAATCTCACACACTGTTGATGCTTCCTTGGACACATAAGAAAAGGGACATGATGCCAGCTATAGTGGTGCTTGTCTGTACTCCCAGCACTCAGGAGGCTGAGGCAAGAGGATTGCTGTGGGTTCAAGGCCAGCTGAGACTATAAAGTGAATTCAAGAGCAGCCTGAACTGCATAGTGAGACCCTGTCTCCCAAAACATAAACAAAAACACACAAAGAATACAGAAAGGGACTGAATTAGAGAACCATTTCCCTAACCATTACAAAAATGAAAATGACCAGGTCTCAGCTGTCTTCAGTTCTGCCACAGTAACTGCTGAAAATTTTCCTAAGTTCCCCAGTCTACTTTTGGGCTCAGTAAACTCCGCCTGAGGGCACTTGTCATGGGCTTCCTGAGAAAGAAACTAATGGATGAGGATGTCAGAGTTGAGTAAACTTCCTTCAGCAAAGTATTTACAACTAAAATACTGATTATTCCTCCAACATCCATGCTAACAAATAATGGTTTTCATGGCAAGCAAATCCTACATGATCACTTTCCACTCTGGTACCGTAATGGGGATGTCCCCCTCCATTTCCTGAACCTTCTCAGACTCTGTGACATCGGGGATATTGAAGCTGTGCTAGAACCAGCATCAAGGCCCAAATATACTTCCCATAGTGAGATGCAGCAATATATATCATTTGTCAAAAGATACATAAGGAGTCCACTGTCATCAGAAATTCAGCTACCAAGCTCACTCAGTGGGGTGACACACTGTAATTCCAGCACTCTGGGAGGCAGAAGCAGGCAGACTGCAAGCCTAGCCCAGATAACCTAGCAGGATCCTGTCTAAAAACAAAAAAATACAAAGAAAAGGGCCGGGGATGTAAGTCATCCCCTGGGTTCGATCTCTAGTACTGCAAAGAAAGAAAGAAGGAAGGAAGGGAGGGAGGGAGGGAGGAAAAGAAAGGGAAGGAAGAGAGAGAAATTCAGCTACTAGAGGGAGGAATCATGCAGGAGCTAGAATGCTGCATTCCCTAATGCTGGCTCCATTCTGTTCTCTTGTCAGGAAAAAGCAGACAGTGGCTCCTGAACACGGCTGGAACAGCAAATCCAAAGAGCCCACGCCAGAGGTGGTGGATGAGCGAAGCCTGCCTAAACAGCACCACTGCAGCCTGCCAGTCTCCGTTCCCTGACAGCCCTCAGTCTTCCTTCTAAGAGGGCACTCCTGCCCTCATCCTCTAAGTCTGACCCCAAAGATGGAAAAATTCACCCCACAGCTCGAGGTCCCAGAACTCCCACTGTGCCGTGGGAGCCTCTGCAGCCAGCCCTGTTAACGGGGTTTTGTTCCCAGCAGGTTTGTTAATTAAAGTGTCACTCACTGTATTCCTCAAAGACTCAAGTGTGAGAGGAGCCTTTCTTAAGTGAACAGTTCTCAGTGCTTCTCAGTGCTCGGCAAGACCTCACAAAAGAAAGCCACTGAAATCCCCAGTCTCTGCAGAGCACTGGAGCTGCCAAGGACTGGCTTCTGTGCCACCCAAAGTGGCTCCAGGCTGCATGCAGAAAGCAAGGGACGCCACATCGCCCACAGGAGGCCCCTAACGTGCCACTGATGATTTGATTTGAAAATATTGTTCAAGTCATTTTGAGCCTCGGGGCTCCAGCTCTCCTCTCCCTCCCCAACCTCAAAATGCCACTCACACTTTCACTCCGCAACTCATCCCGCTCAGCCTTCTTGACTCACTTCCTCTCTCCTGTTTCCTGGTGCAACCTGGTGTTTGCCAGGAGCCACCGCTTAGATCCATTAATCCCTCCTTCCCTGCTCCTTCCACCTCTTTCCTGTCTGCACTCTCCTCTTGGGTCTAATTTAAGAAAAAAGAGCCTGCTGTTTTAAAAGTGCAACACCCTTTGGGAATTAACATATATGCACACACAAATACATATTTAATCTACCTGTTCTATGTGATTCCATAAACATGTGCGATTTATAGTTTTTAAAAGTGGAACAAAGATACCAAACCATTAGTTTTTTGTTTTTGCTTCCCTAAACTTCACATTTTCTTGTTTTTTATCAGGGTCTCTGGATTGTTTTTGTAACCAATAAAAACCAAAAATATTCATGCAAGTACAAAAAGAGAAAAGGAAACTTGGTGTATGAATGTGCAGGCCACAGAAGGCTGAAAGGTCACTGCAATAGAGAACACCTATAAAAATTAGAGCGCTCTGGAGGTTGCAATGGGGAGATCACAAATGGGAACACAGCCTGGTAACTCAGCCGTGAAACAGACCTTGCCTCAAAATAAGAAAGAATCGAGGTGTAGTGGCGTACGCCTATCATCTCAGCCCTTGGGATGCTAAGGCAAGAAGAATATGGAAAGCAAATTCGAGGCCAGTCTGGGATTCACAGTGAGTGCAAGCCCAGCCTGAGCCAGCCTAGGGAGACAGTGTCTCAAAACCAACACAGGCTGGGGATGTAGCCCTGGGTTAATGCCCAAGAAATCCCTTCCACACACAAAAAAAGTTACTAAAGATAAAAGTGCAAGTTCAACCCATTATCTTCATTCTGCATGGCCAAGTAAGAAGAGAAGTGGAACCAATTAATTGGCCCAATGTCATTTGTTTAAAAAAAAAAAAAAGAGTACAAGATCCTAAGAGAAGGGAAAACTTCTCTTCACAACAGAAAATAATTTTTTCCTAGACTTAAAAGAAAATTCCAATGTGACAGCCTTGGGTATCACATGGTACAAAAAGGTACCTGCGACCAGTGATGGTGAATCTTTTATAGCTTACAGTGATACAAAGAGCCTGCTGTGGTATATGTGTCCCACAAGATTGCCAGCACTGCCCATGACAAGTCTAACAGGGAGCAGACACCCCTTCCTCTGAAGACCCCTTGATCACTACCTCCTATTTCTGCATGGCTTCCTCCTTTCATAGCTCAGCTTCTGGCTCCCAACACAGTGAGGTTCTTTGTCCCACACTGCCCAGATCAGAAAAGAGCTTCAGTAAAGCATGGTGGTGCATGCCTGTAATCCCACTACTCAGAGGCTGAGACAGGAGGATTGCTATGAGTTTGTGCAAGCCAGGGATACATAGTGAGTTCAAGACCAGCCTAGATTGCACAAGGAGACCCATCAGAAGGGGGAAGAAAAAAAGAAGAAAGGAACGTCAGTCCCTGAGATTTGCCAAGGGACAAGAAAGGCCAGTGCTTCTTTGAGAAAATATCTGGCTTATGAAAAAATGTGTGTGAGACAAATTTTCCCTGTGGATTAATACTGTCTTTAATAAAGACAAGTTTAGAAAGCTGTATTAGGTTAATTTAGTGTTTAGAGTTTAAAATATCATTGAAAATGGGGCAAGGGGCTGGAGGTTTATCTCAGTGGCATAAGCACCTGACTTGCAAACAGGTAGTCGTGAGTTCGATCCCCGGTACCGACAAAAAGGAAAAAGACAAAAAAAAAGAAAAGAAAAAGAAAATGGGGTGAGCAGCAGCACTCTGCCTCTCACCCTTCTGGGACTGGCCCCTGCCTGGGGCACAGAGGGTTTGTCACTTTTGCTGGTTTCTCCCACTCCAGCCACTGCCACCTCCCCCTCCTGACTTTTCCCCTAGTTGAGGCAATGGCCTGCGGGTTTCCCCTCCCCTTTCCTCCTTCTCTTCCTTCTCCCATTCTCCAGCCTCATATCACAAGAATATCTAAGATCCAGGTCACCTCTGGACCATACTATGTCTCCACTGCCTGTGAAATAAAAGTCCTACTCACAGAGTGTGTCCCACAGTCACTGCGGAGTGGCCCTGCAAAACCCTGGCTCTGGGGAGTCACTTGTGGGAACTTGGGCTTTAATACCAGTTCTTATTCTGCTCAGAACAAGTCGAACAAGTTACTTAACCCATCCTAGGCTCAGCACCCATACCCGTGAGATAAA